GCGCAGAGTAGGGTTCCGTTACGGAACTTCCGTAGTTGCCTGGCTAGTCCGACTTTTTTTGTTTCCTCCCAGGCGAGGGAGCGGGAGTGAAATTCTCATGGATACCCTACAGCCGGCTGCAAGGTTATGTCAGACTCCTACTGACTAAAACACACCCGTAGTTCATGCTTATGGCTTGGAAGGGCCTTAGAAGCTTCATCTGAAGCGATCATCAACTGAGAGGGGCATGATGCAGAGTTGCTTCCTTTTAACTGCGGATCTTACCTTTACGAAATGTATAATAACTGGCGACGAGACATGGGTTTATGACTACTACATGCAAACAAGCCAACAGTCTTCAGAATGGCGTTTCGAAAACGAGCCGAAACTCAAAAAACCGCGGCAAAGTCGCTCCAAAATCAAGGCGATACTGACAGTTTTTTTTGAATTTGAAATTCAAATAATTAGTGGAGTTAACTCCGAATTCCTTACAGAGCAGAGGGAGAAACAGTGAATAAAGAATATTATTTAGGCGTCATGAGCGTTTGCGTGAGAGTATTCGCCGAAAACATCCAGAGAGAAGATTCTCGACCAAACACCGTATTCACCTGATATGGCTCCGTATGACTTTTTTTTATTTCCCAAGTAAAAATAACCACTTTGAGGAAAAAGTTCTGAGTCGATAGAAGCCACAAAAGAAAATTCGCTAAATGAGCTAAAGGTCATATCGCAAGTAGCCTACGAAAAATGTATGGAGGACTGGGTGAAGTAGGGATGTCGAAAGTTGAAAAAAATTTCGATATATCGATACATCGATATTTAAAAAAATATCAATATCGGCTTCGATATCTCGCGAAAAAAACATCGATATATCGATATGTCGGAATAATTTTCCCAAAAATATATTTAGGTCAGCCTAGCACAGTAATAATAGTTCAATACAAATTATAATTAAAGAAAGAATTATTATTAAAGTACCAAATTGCCGCTACACTACATGATAGTAACGTATCTCACGAAATATGACACGCGGAATAATAATGGAACGAAAATTATCTCCCTAAAATAAACCCTATTTTCGAATGATGATAACGATTGCAGGGCCTCTCAGGTGTCATCTTTCGTAAACAAGACTAGAGAGTCACACACTTCCACAGAATATAATGGAAATCAGCACAACCAATTCACCAGCGAAACAGATTTTTAAATAATAGACAATACTAAATACAGCACAGATCATAGATATGTTGAATATCATTAATCTGAGATCCAGTTACGATTTTTCCAGATACGAATTTAGTTAGATCGTGATATGCCGCTAATAATTAAAAAAATATCGTTTTTGATACGAATTTCGATATTGGTTATTTTGTATCGATGTATCGATATATCGAATCAAAAAATATCGATATATCGATATATTTTCAACAAGCCTAGGGTGAAGCGGTCGAGATGTTGTGTTGCAAGCAATGGGGCCTACTTTGAAGGCGATAAATTAAAATTATATGAATAATTTGTATTTTTTTGTTTTACTTAAACATTCCCGACACTAAGTAGAGATGTCGATTCTGGCGTGATTCTCTAAACTTAAAACTAAATTTAACATCAGTCTCTCCTTTTCATTCTGTATAGAGAATGACAAGGATATACTGTTGTCAAATTTAAGTTTAGGTTTAGAGAATCATGCTAGAATCGACACCTTAGAGCCTGTCCAGATGAGGCGTTTTACGCGCGAGTCCACACGCGCGTTTCAAATTCTATTGCATCCAGATGCCGCGTTTTACGCGCGTTTCTACGCTGGGAGGGATCCAGCCAGTTACAAACATGAACTCGGAAACAGCGGTTGTGTTGTGGCTTGCATACTGTCGATGGAAAAATCGTAAACGAAGAGAACGTCGACGATTTAACGTGCACCCAATTCTACGTGACAGAATGACGCATAGTATGTTTATAACATTATATCCAAAGCTCAGAGAACACGGTGAAAAGTTTTTCAACTACTTCCGGATGTCAGTAACATCGTTTGATGAATTACTAGAAATTATTCAAGAAGATTTGACTCCATGTCAAAATTATGTGGTACGGGATACTGTCTCTGCAGAAGAAAAACTCGTGATTACTTTGAGGTAATATTTTTTATTATTGTGATGTAATTGTACTTTTATCAAGTTTGTATCTTTAAATTAAGAATTAATTTAACAAAAATAAAGAATTTGAACAAAAACACCAAAAATTAGGAATCATTCAAACTTAACATTTAATCACCATATAGTTCCATCAATTCAGATTCTTGTGAATCTTGTGTAGAAGCCGGTGATGGAGTTGTTGGGTTATTGTAGGCAGACGTTGTTGATGGGGTGTTGCGTTGCACAGTGCAATAACCTCGATTGTAAGACGAAAAGGTTGCAGGAGGAACTGAAGATATTGAGGGGTCTATTGTGTTATATCCTGTTTCTTCAAAATAGTCTCTCTGTCCACGTTGTGTCATTCCTGTTTGGTAATTATATTGTGGAGGTATATAGACAGAACGAGCAGTTGAAGGTTTATGATACAGGGCTTGTTGACCTTGAAGTACTTTCATTAGTTCAATTTTTGTTTGAAGTCTGTTCTGCTCTGGTATTTTAAGAAGCTCTTTGTGTAACGATAAACAAAATAGTTTGTCATCATCAGACTCCGTTTGGTTTGATGTATGTGGCTGATTTTTAGATGCTAAATTTGTTTTTATGATAGCGAGAAATTCTTCGGCGGCCGCATTTAGTTTTTTCTTCTTTTTTGCTTGACTCACTGGAGGTCTCATTACATCTTCCCCATCACCAGAAAAGTCTTCTTCTTCAGCTGCAGCAGGAGTGGTGTTAATGTTGCTATCAGTTGTTTTATTGCGTGTCGATCGTTCGAGGAACATCAAACGTTCAAAATAGATATATTTGGTTTTGCCGGAGGCTCCTGATCCAGACGGAGTGGTTTTCTTTTTCTTCATTTCTCTTACAAATCCATCACGTAACCCTTTCCACTTCTTTTGCAAAATATTACCTGTAACCAGTAATATAGTAATTTAATTAGTGTGGTAAATAAAATATAAATTAACTAAACGCATTTTTTTTTCAGATATTTGGCTACAGGATGTTATTTTGCGGATCTGCATTATGCCTACAGGTTGGGAAAGTCTACAGTTATCGAAATAGTACAGAAAACTTGTTACGTCATATGGCATAAACTGAAAAATATCGTAATGAAAGTACCTACGAAGGCTGAATGGGAAGAGATTTCTAAACAATTTCAAAAATACACAAATTTTCCAAATTGCATCGGCGCCATTGATGGCAAGCATATCCGTATTATAAAACCTAATGATTCTGGGTCTCTTTTTTATAATTATAAGAGTTATTTTTCAACTGTTTTGTTGGCTGTATGCGACGCAAATTATTGTTTCATTGCAGTAAATATCGGCGCATATGGAAAAAGCAATGACTCCACAATTTTTCAAGACTCTGTTTTTTATAAAAAACTTGTCGAGAAAACTTTAGATATTCCAGACCCAAAGCCAATATCGCAAACAGATATAACTCCCTTACCCCATGTGATAGTTGGAGATGAGGCGTTCAGTCTATCTGAACATATAATGCGCCCTTATTGCGGTAAATCTCTAACAACTAAGAAAAGAATTTTCAACTATCGCTTATCCAGGGCCCGGCGTTACATTGAATGTTGCTTTGGCATCTTGGTAAATAAATGGAGAATATTTCATAGACCGTTGAATGTAGACATAGAGTTTGCAGAAAGCATTATTAAAGCTTGCTGTGTTCTTCATAATTTTGTAAGGTTAAGGGATGGTTATAGGTTTGACCACACTCTTTACGAAACTCTCTAATTCATATAAATACTGAGGCAGTAAGGCCTAATGCCAGATCGCTGAACACAAGAGACAGATTCGCTGATTATTTTGTTAACGAAGGCAAACTCCCTTGGCAAGATAAAATGATATAGTCATATTTTGTTTTACAACTTATGATTCAAATATGTCATTAACATAGTGACAAATTATCAGGAAATCCTATAATATGGAAACCAAAAAAAATGGTCGTTCTTCAGTATACCTTTTTAGCCCCGTATACTCTACGCTACTAGGTCGTACAATGTATGTAGTCTGGAATAATATTATTAAATAAACTATTTTTACTTACCTATAGTTTTTTTCTTTTCTTCGGAATCTCCAGCTTCACAAAAATCTCGACGATTTCTTCCCAGTTCCTGCGTTTTATGGTTCTATTGGAATAATCTGATGATTCCATATTCCATATGGCTGCCCTTTTTTCAATTTCATCAATAAAAAGTTCCGTATCGAAGTTATCACGCTCCATCGTTACAAATACGTCCACTCGCGCGTTAAACGCGCGAGTCGAGAGTCCCGCTCATTGCACGCGTTTTACGCGCGAGTGAGGATACGCGCGTAGGCATCTGGACGGGATATATGTAGCTCTAGTATCTCGGATACGCGCGAGTGTCAACGCGCGTGTGGACTCGCGCGTAAAACGCCTCATCTGGACAGGCTCTTATACTCTTTATTGTAAACCGTAAATACCGTAACGATAGCGCGATTCAGAAGCCGTTGCCGTTGTTGATACTCCCGCGTTAGCTTTGTGGATCTAAAGATACTTATTTTATTGTGGTTTTTAAATATTTTTTTAGATTTTGTTTTTCAATGTAAGGTTTTACGCTCTTCTATGTTATTATTAATGTTTTCGTCTAAGGAATCTTCAATAGATAAGAAATTTTATTTATCAAGACAATTTTTTTATTTGTCAAGACAACGGCACCTTAAAAAACAGCACGAGCAAAATAAAGCTAGAAAGAAGTGGTAAGGAGTTTAAAATTAAAAAAGACGTCAGACAGGGAGTCACCTAACCTTTATATTGTGGTCCTTGAATCTATATTTAAAAACGTAAAATAAAGGTATCAAAATTGTTCGGCGAGTGGTCGGCCGGCAGACCATATAATGGGGAGCGGGAGGTGTGACCCACCGGTCACCAAGGGAAAGCCCTCCGAACGATTGGCCTCTGAGGCGGCGCCCGGACGGACGCCCTCAGAGGGGGGGATGTCCGAGTAGCCTCGGCCGCTCGGACCCCCCGCGGATGTTGTCGCCCGCGCTTCCCCCATTTGGGAGAAGACGCGAGGAGACGAGGGCGACCGGGAGGGGGAGAGGGACGGGAAGAATTACGCTTCCCCTCCCGGTCCTCCCTCCCAGGAACGGCGGCCCTACCCATGCGGTTCTGTCTTTCCGCAGCGGATGGGGGGCGGTATGGTGGGCAGTAGGCCGCGTACCCAGGCCCCCACGCGCCGGCCTACCTGCGCACGTCTGCGGGGTAATAAAAAAAAAAAGGTCTCAAAATTGGAAATAACTGCTTGAGCCAGCTAAGATTCGTTGATAACTGCTGTTTTTTTTCAGAAACAGCATCAGAATTAGAAGAAATGTTATTAGGACTGGATGAGGAAACTTCTAAGGTGCCCACCTTAGAAGTTTTAACTGAAGATAAATAAAAGTAAAACAAAAATAATGACCGACAGTTACAAGAAACCAATCACAGTAGCAGGATGTGGAATCTATAATATAAAAATGAATAGCTGAATGTGTTGCTAAGCGCAAATCTCGAGAACAGCTGTACCGAATTTGATAATTCTTTTTTTAGAATAGTCCTTGAAGTACGAAGTTGGTTCTTACCTTACATAGAGAAAAATAAGAAAAATTGCCTGAAAAACGAAAGAAATGGAACGGAGTATTCTAAAAATCAGGAAGGTCCAATAAATAAAGAGTACCACCATAAAAGCAAAAACCAAACTGAGTGATGCACACGCACTTCGCACATGCTCTAATACTAAAATGGCGATGGGCTGGACATGTCTGCCGCTTTACAGACAGAAAAAGGTCGGTTGGCAGACCATACAAACGATGGGCAGATGACATAAGTCAGCATAGCCGGTCAAAACTGGACCAAGAAAGCCAGCAACAGGGTTTCATCCTTTTAGGGGACCATAGTTATTGTATTAATGTATAAGATTAACAAATTGTGTAATATATATCAAATATGGTAAATAAAAGGCTTTGTATTTTATTTATTAAGAAAGGTAAATCTACTTTTTACTTGTATCAAAAATAGTCAAAATCATTTGTAAGAGGTTAAAGTAGGCGCTCAAAAATTACGACTTCTTGCAAAAAATGTAAAAGGGCTCTTAATGTACAAAATAATAATATAATATATTGTAATTAAGTATATCTTTAATTTTCCCCAATACAATACAATAACTTTATGTTATAACAATAAACAATCATGTGCAAAAATCCCATTGCATTAATTACAGTCAGGTTGCTTCAAAATCACAATAAATTCACAGAAAATTAGGCAAATAATTAAAAGCTAAAATACCTAGACAAGTTACACATATTATTTGAAAGTGAAGGGCAATTAACTTGTTTATGCATTACTAAATACTTCATAAATATTAGCTCCCAACAATTTAAATTTGTCATTCAAAGTGAGTTGTTGGGTTAGCATGTCTGGAATGTTGCTATTGCCCTTGCAAGTGTTCTTAGTGAGTAATTCATTTATTACTGGCAAGAGCATAACAAAGTGTAGTTCTAGTTTGTTTACATCAACGAATGGTTCAGAGGACCCTCTTAATTTTAAAGCTCCATTTGTTACTACACATTCTTCTACCTCCAAGTGATTCTTTGTGAGAGGTGCTGATTTTGTAGCAAATAGATTTGCTACTTCATCAATTACAGAAGAGAAACTCCGACTCACAGATGACATTGTTACTGAAGTCACTTCTTCACTTTCTAATATGTCCATAGTTTCTTTTACAATAGTGTCTAATTTTGCTTCATTAATTTCAGTATGACCTATCAAATAATGTACCATTTTCTTTACAGGGTCTCCTTCTGTTGAGTCAGTACACAATAAAGTTTGTATTGACCAAAACATCTGCTCTATGTCCTGAATTGTTACTTTCTTCTTCAATGGAACAGATTCTACAACTCTTTTAACGGCTTTTTCAATTTGTTTTGCTAAATCTTCTACACCTCGGCTGACAAAGTGATGACATAAAGATAAGTACTTAGCTTGTAGTTCACTGTCAATTAAAGGTTCCTCTTCATGAACTGAATCCCTATAGAGATAACCACCAATCACATTTAGTTGGACTCTCAGTGTCACCTGAAGTATGCATAGAGCATACACCATGACACAAATTCTGGTGAAAATCATGATTTTCAACTGTTCCCATAGTTCTAATTTATTTTCAGGATTTTCTTGAAGTTTTTGGACTATATTTTCAGTCTTCAAAATACCTAAAATACTCTCTGAAACTATTTTCGACAATGACAATACAGTTTGATTGCATGTGCGCTCAGTGCTCTCGAAGTGTTGTTTCTTACGAGTCATTTCAAAAAACTTTTTAGCTTCTTTTTCTTGCCATTCTCTAAGTTTCTTCTGAGCATAACTGGATAATAAGTATAGTCCACCAACCACTGCACCAGTGACAAAAAACTTCCTGCGGTGGCGATGCAAGAAATTCCGAATGCTTGAAAACATGGTAAAATTTGTTATTAACCTTGAGAGTTTATAATTTACTGAAATTCAAGAGGAGAATCGGACCTATATTTAGTTGTGTTCATAAGACGTTTGGTGATGAATGTAGTGGCATCAATGAATCTTTCAACACAATTCATAATGCAGACTTCTGTTTTGGAATCTAGGCGCATAGATGGCCTTCCCATGCAAGTGTCCCAACATGTATCTGTTAATCCATGCACAAGAACCTGAAATTTTGAAAGATTTATGGAATGGAATAAATTCTATATAAGTACCTACATGCAACATTTTGATGTAAAGTTAATCCAAAGTCAAACTTCTAACAATATAACATAAAAATGAATTGGGACTTTGTGTTTGGTAGGCCAAAGGTCGTGATTAGAATTAGTAATTCAAAATGGATATTAACAGTCATGTACAATTATGTTATCTACAGTAAATCTGTTATTACAGCGAATCAAGGACTTCATCTAACCTGAAAACGTTGTTTTTGCGTTTCAGCAAGTATAAAGTCTTGTAACTGTGGATCAACACTTTCTTTTTCGGTCATAATCAGTCCAATATCCTTTAACAACAGAATTTGTAAACTATTCTACTTTACCTTTAAACATCTAATATGGTCATATAAAGCTTTTCCATGACATTTTATTCATAAAATTTAGGGAAACACATCGGGAAATCTGATTAACCAAGTTTTTCCAAGCGAGAAGAAAACTACAGCTTTTTTAACACAGATGACTACGTTTTTTTTAATCATAGATTATTATTCTTATTCTTCCATATATTTTTTTTTTAATTTATTCATGACCTGGATACAGAGTCCTTCAGTCGAATACATTGTGGGATTCTTCCTTATATGGAAAGCAGTGTTGCCAGATGAGGAAATAAAAAAACAAAATTGCATATTGAAGTAAATGCATACAAATTGCACAAATCTACAATTAAAAAAAAAGACCAGCCCCACACACTTCGTTTCACCACCATTTTTTAGCTTGTGTGACAGAGTATGGCTGCTAAAATTCTCGAGGAGTTTAATATAAAGAAGACAAAAGCGTTTAAAATAAGCTGCTGTTGCACATTTGTAAGTAAAATCATTTTTGAAAGTTACTTAAATTACATAATTTTGGTTGGCTTTCGTTTCTTACAGAAACTTTGGGTAATTTTCAACTCTACATTCTCAGCTAAAATCGTTACGGATACTCGTTGCCTACCTACAACAATGCGACTATAGTCTGTTCTTTCTGTTATTATCTTTTTGACAGATTGATTGTAGTAAAAATAGTGACACTCTACCACACAACTCGTTCGCTTTAAAGCTATAATCGATTTATGCTATAACATTGTTTAATTATAAGTATCGAAATTATTTTAGTTATTAAAAATACTGGTGTTTAATAAATTATTACAAAATTCCATTACATTTATTATTTTACCTAGTACAAATATTTGTGTGATGAGCACGAGTATTTGTTCTGTGTCTGGGTACGATTTATCTATAATATGTTTATATATATACAACAAAAAAGCAGTATACTTTTTGTTTCTTTATCCTAATACTAATACTATGTACGATTAGATTTATTGATTATAATTAATAATTTCATTTAAAAAAAGGTTTATATAAAGCTATATTTTTGACTTTTTACGTTTAAATATTTTTGAGTGTTGGCAATACCATGTTTTGGTGGAGTATGGCGACATTTTGAAGTCACTTGTTCACTGGAAAACTGAGCGGGAGCTTTTAATTTTTCTCATAATTAAATTTAAACTTTAATTAGCCTTTCTGCGCACAAACACAACGGGAAAAACTGCTAGGGATTGGAGATGGGCGCCCAGAGTGATGGGGAAGATCCTGCAGAGAAGAGGAAAAGGAAGTTTAATAATATATCTAATAATTCGAGAAAGAAAGAAAATGAAAAGTACAATGTTTTTATCGAACCCAATTTTAAACGTCTTTTCTTAGATAACAGCACAAATGAGTTTGTCGTTTATGTGGTATCCACTGAGCACGACAAAATAGGAAATCGAAACCCTATTTCCCTTTCACCGAACATGTTACAGATATAGTAGGGGTTCATCGTGTGAACGCTCATAAAATTGGGGTGACTTTTAAAAAAGCGTCCTCCGCTAACTATTTTTTGAAACAGGACGACTTTTTATCTATTAATAAAATGAAGGCATCATCCCTTCTCATCTCAGAATACCTATTTTGTGGGTGCTAACGACTGCATTGTGAAGGCCTATCAAAAGTATTTATTAATCTGGAACAACGGAACCAAAGCGCGATTCAGGAGACTACAGCGCCATCTCTTGACCGTTGGTGTAGTAGAACCAAAAACCACATCTTTATTTTTTGTAATAAAGTAACAAAAAGTATTTATTAATCTGGAACAACGGAACCAAAGCGCGATTCAGGAGACTACAGCGCCATCTCTTGACCATTGGTGTAGTAGAACCAAAAACCACATCTTTATTTTTTGTAATAAAGTAACAGTTATAGGTATTCATATTTATAATATTTATCCACATGTTTCTAGTTTGTATATTCGGAATACGTGTTTGAGTTTCATACAAGTGCAAATCACATATGTTCTAATAAATTATATTCAGTAGCGATTTTAATTGAATATTTTGATTATTTATTTATTTTATTGACTGTGTCCTTTTCCAGACTTTTTATTAATTTATTGTAATTAATTATTTGCATGCAATTAAAAACTAATTTTAAACGATGCCAAAGAAGGATAACTTCTCACGCGCCTACATAAGTACACGCACCCATTTTTTTTTGCATATAATTCAGTACAATATACAAAGTTTACAGAGCAAAAAAACCTTACTTCAAAAGCTCATTTTGAAAAAAAATATTGACATTTGTTTACATAATGAAACCTGGCTAACAGAAAATAGACATCCTCCAAGATTTCCTAACTATAATTTTATATTTAAGAATTCTAAAAATAAATGTAATGGTGTCGGAATTTTAATTAAACATAGTTTAAAATACAGTATTTTAAACACAACTTTTTACGAGTCTATTCAGAACATAGCCATAACTTTAAAAACGCAATCTGGTGATATATCTATTTTATGTGTTTATTGTCCACCCAACAATGGTAGATTCAATAGCAGCAAATTAAAAAACATTATACAGAATTTACCCAAACCATGTTTAATCATGGGTTACTTTAATGCTCATCATGTAGCTTTTGGGTGTCAGAGTAGTAATAGCAGAGGTAATAGCTTATTTGATATAATAGATGAGTTTGATTTATGCATCTTGAACAATGGCACTCCAACTACTTTTCCACATCCCAATAGACAGCCCTCTGCAATAGATATAACACTTGTGAGCCCCTCCATTGCTCATTTATATGATTGGTGTGTACAAGACGATCCCATGGGCAGTTATCACTTCCCAATTTCTCTTTATTTGAATATCCAGCCATCACAGTTTGAAATTGGTCCTGTTGAAGAAAAATATATTTATAGCAAAGCAAATTGGGATGAATATTATACACTTTCAGAAATAGCTTTTTCCGAATTAAATATTGAAAATGATCAGCCATTACAGTTGTATATCAAATTTGTAAATATATTAAATAATATAAGGGACCAAACAATACCGAAACGAAAGGGAACACCTAATTAAAAAATGTTAAGGAAACCAGCTCCTTGGTGGAACAAAAATTGTGAGGATGCTATTAAAAAATCTAAAGAAGCTTTGTGGATGTATAAAGTAAATCCATCTATTTCTAACTTTATAGAGTATAAGAGAATGGATGCCCATAAAAAACTAATTATTAAACAGGAAAAAAAGAGTCTTAGAAAGTGCTATGCAGTAGTTTTAATAGATTAACACCTGTCTCCAGAATATGGAATTATATAAAAAAGTTTAAAAGGGTAGTGTGATGTTTAATTCCCCTCCACTCACGGCAGAGCACCGGGGGAACAATAAAAGAAAACCAAAAAATTAAGATAATGTTATAAGTATATTTTATCCACTTTAGATACCAAAGCATAGGAATTCAGTAGTTTTAAGTTATTGCTTATATAAATCAACAAGTCTAACTATGTTTATTATTTATATAATAACTATGTTTCACTAATTATAAATATCTAAGCTGAATACAGTAGTTCAAAGTTAATGTGTATATAAACCAACAAGTTGTCATGAAAGGTTATAATTATATGAATATCAGACATTCATAACACTTTACCATGTACTTACAATATAATACTTACTAATATATTTTATCCACAAATACCACATAGACCAGACTGAATAAGCTATTTAGTGCATTTCAGAGGTTCTACGGCTCGTTTGATCGATATTGGTGACCAACTTAGTTAATTCTAGTTCTCAGTGAGATAACCAGTTATATAGATATCTGTATATATATGGAAATGGGTAAGTCGGGGTCCAACCTCGCCTGATGGTTCCTCTCCACGTTCACCCGGGGTTAGTAGAGAAATACCTTGAGTATGATAGGTTTAGCTGTGTATAATCTGTCTGCTGTTACGGCCGGGTTACATAAAACCGGAGAGCGGCTGGCAAATAAACTCCCGCGTCCCTTCTGGTCCGTGCACAGAACAAAAGTCTCCTTGTTAGTCCTCCAGTATTTCTTGAGGGGAACGTACAAGCCTGAAGTTCACATTGAAAAAAAAAATGGTCAGATATGGGGAAAATACATAGATTACCACATCTGTGGTGGGTGAGGGAGTGATGGATATTCACGGTCAATGTTTACACTTTAAAATTTGAGTCACTACAGGACTGGGGCCCGTCCCACCGGGTTGAAGAAAATCAATTCCACGTTCACTAACTTGACAAGAATGATTAGGTATATTTGCTGACAAGAATCACTATATTGTGCATAATGCAGTTCAATTAGTGCTAGGAGAATAAATATGAGGTCAGATGATAGCTTACCGTTCGAAATATGAAACTATCCGTAAGTATTTTGTTTCCTATCACAAGTTACCGCCTTATTATTGCAATCGCCTTGCGAAGGTTCGTGTTCGTCCACCTACGATACAGAATATCAACAGAAAGGTTATTTTTCACAGCCCAAACTTGCAAATTATGTAGGAAAAAGAGCCACTCCAATATACCTACGAAACTCAGTTCGGTTAGCGACTCCGCGCTTTTTCCGCCAATATCCTTCGGGATATAAACTTTTCGGATCTAACTCACGACTCCGACGACAATAATATGCCTTTTATTATACTTTGGGCAGAAGAAAAGATGAAAAGTTAAACGTACCACAAACAGATTGTGAAATTTTAAAAGTTGTTTTGACAATTGCTCATAGATGATAGACGGGTCGTCCACTCCCCAAACATGTGTCTATGATTTGTTTCCCACTTCAACTGAAGGCAAAGGCCACAGTCAAACAGACAGCCGCCGCAGAAGAATAAACTCAAAACTATATACCTACGCTCGCCGTAAGCTGAGGAAAAGGGAATACCTACCCAAATCAGCGAGGAAATTCAATTTCGAGTAAAATTCAAAATCGATTAAAAAACAGCACCCGATAAGGAGGACTC